TCTAAAAATAAAAGCCTATAATAAGAAAAACTTATTTCTATATATACATAATTTTTAATTTATATATATCTTAATTTTTTCATAAGAAAGTTAACAAAATTTTTATATATTTCTATATGCTTTATATTTTGTTAAAAAAAAATTAAGAAAATATAAGATATAATTAGAATCATTAAATAATATCAAGAGCTTTATAAAAGTATATGTAAATAGAATTTTTATACCTTTTCACTAAAGTGTCTAGAATTATACTATATAAAATATTAAATTATACATGTGTAATAAAATAAATTATATTAAATTATACATTTATAATTTAAAAAGGATTTATTTAAGACATTGATACTAATTTAAAGATTAAAAAACTATTTAATAAAAATTCAAAAATAAAAAATTATAAAACAAAAATAAAGTTTTTTAGTATGATAATTATAAAATATTTTTAAATTAATAATTCTAATTAAAATTATTTATTTTAGCTAAAATTATAAATACATAATTTATTTATAAATATAAAGTACTGACTATAGTATATATAAAAATGCTATGCAAAATCACATGTTTTTTATTTATAAAATACTTTAATAGCTAATTAAAGTTAAAAAATTTATTGCAAATAGGGCAGACTGCAACAAAATCAGACAAAGTAAACATTCTATTATGTGATATAAATGAGAGGCTGATGATGATGTGGCTGTAAAACTGACCAGGGTAACTGATAACGTTTTGAAATGTAATAATGGTGCTCATTCATAACTTATGACTTGTTGATTTTAATTTTCACTTTATTATACCAGAAGGTGATGAATATAAACCATAACAGGAGCAATATAGGACTACTTCTATATATAAAAATATTAATATGAAACTAATTTACATTAAATCCACCATGGAATCAAAGAATTACAGCACAATTCGAAGCATTCTAAAGAAAGCTTAAGGAGAAAAAATTGCCCCATACATTTTTAAAATCAATAATACTCAAACACTCCAGGAATATCTAGATCAAGAAAAGATTACTTATGAATTTAAATTACTTTTTTACTTTTAATCAAGGTCATCTCTTATTTTCTTTAACTTCAATTTGAACAACATGTTGAGTCTGCTGTTTTCTTAAGAATTCAACCTTACTTTCAAGTCTTTGAATTTTATCCAGTAATTCTTGCTTTTGTTTATCATGTCAATCCTTTGAAACATCTAAGGCTTTCAAGTGAGAACTGATTTCTTCCTTAGTACTGGCTAGTTGCTGTTTTAAATCCTTGTTTTGTTGTTCTAATCTACCCATATAACTCTGAGTCATTATTTCTGTTATGGTTGGAGTTTTAACTGGTGGCTTATCTTTCCTTAAATCACAGAAGCAATCTATTCTATTTCTTATAACTCGACCACAGTCATTACAATGTGATAGAGCATCATCATCAAGATCCTTTTTGCATTCAATACAGATATAAGCAATGTCACTATAATCATTATTGCTGGTACTGTAAGATAAAATTTTGTAAGTAGCATTTAAACTTTTTTCTTTTTCAAAAGAGCAAAAATTGCAATGTCATTTATCTCCTCTTCTTAACTCAATAGCTTGGTATTCTAACTTCATTATTTATCCTTTTGTAAGATGTAAGTGTTAAACTTCTCTTGAGTTATTGTTTTTGCTTGCTTAATTCTGCTTTTTACTTTGTTAGTTAGGAGTTTAAATTTGTTTTGTTTTTTTGGTAAAGATGGTAGTTCTTGAAGTTGCTTGTTTGTTAAATAATTCTACCATGCCATAACATTTTCTAGCATTTCTATTTTTCTTGAAGCTTTTTTTAAGTTTTCATCTTTTTCTTTGCTTTGTCTTACTCTCCATTTTCTAGCTACTTCAAGAACATCTAAATGGCATTCAGAAATATTTTCCTCCAATTCTAATGCCTCTTCCAATTCTCTTATTTCTTCTTCTAGTTCTTTAATTTGTTGATCTTTACTTTTTTCTAATTCTTCTAAATTCTTTTCATAATCTTTTTTTTGTTCATAAAGCTCACTATTGGTTCTGCTTCACTTTCCAACATAATCTAACCATTGTGAACTTAATTCATTAGAACTATCAATAAAACCTTCCAACATTTCTTCAATAGTGATGTTATCAAAATAAATTCTTTTACAACCCTTAGCTCATTCTCTAGTTTCATTAGGGTCTACTGCCATTCTTAATTTGCCTTCATCCATCCATTTTTTGTTTAATTGCTTGTATCACCTTATTCCTGTAGGACAATACATGCTACATTCACCATTGCTATCAACAGACTGACCAGTAACATGTCAGATTTTTAGTTTTAGTTCTTTAATGTCTGCTTCTCTTTTTTTATTGAGATTATTGATTTCTTCTAGTAATTGTTTGTTTCTCTGTTCAAGTTCATTTATTATGTTTGTCATAGTTTTTTTTTTATTTTATTTGCTTTTTTAATGATACTTATATCCTTTTTATGAGAGAATATTAAGTATATAATTATTTTAATAATTTTATTCATTGCCAGTATAAATTGGTTGTAGACAAGTAATGTCTTTAAATTCATCTCTGACAAATGGGTGAATTTTTTGGTAAAGATATTCTTGTCTTTTATAATCCAAAAGAGGAGGAATTAGAACTAAAATAGAAAAAGATTTAATTTCTTTGGTAATTTCGGAAACACTTGCTTTTCTTGTTTTTATCAAATTAAATTCAGTATATGAACCATTAGCAACCAGCTGAGCTTTGACAATACCAGGTTTGGCTGCTTCAAATACAAAATGCTGATATTTTTGTAAGCCACTCAATTTTTTAAAGAAAATTTCTAACACAGAATTAAGATCTAAATATTAAAAGCCTTTGCCATTTTCGTAGCACTGAGCTTTGTTTAATCCTGCTGCACTGGATTTTTTCACAACCTCAACAATGTGATTTACACAATCTACTGTTGTTTTGCAGTATAATTTCTTAATCAATCCAAAACTACCATCACACTTAAATTTAGTATGTCCAGGTATCATAAAATTTAATTCAATACTTTCATAATAACCACAAATTACCAAATACAGGTAAAATTAAATAGTGGCATTATTTTTATTCTGACCACCTGCATTATTACAAATAATCTTTAAATATTTTTCACCTTTATTCAATCTCTTAATTCTATCGAACACCATGCTTAGTGTGCCATTAGGGCCTTTGCCAATAATCTCGTCTTTATCGAGAACGTAATTAATTTGTTCGCGTATTGCCTCATCTTGAATACCAAATAAATGTACTTTACGTGGACTGAGATAATAAATTTTACTTACCTGTTTATCAGAATGGGATATGTGAACATTTTGTGCTCAATCGTAACTGTAATGTGCAGTAGCGTCAATGCTATAATAATCAGGTTTACCTCCTGTTACAATGCAATTATCATCTACCAATTTTCTCTGATATTCTGCTAATTTCGTATTTTGTTGTAATAGTTTCTCTCTAATTTAGCCTTTACTAGATGTTCTTTGAATTTTTTTTGTAAATCTCTTGTTTCTTTTTCCTTGCGAGCATTGTATTATAAGCCATTCCGAAAATGTTAGCACATGTCATATAAATCTGTTTGTGGACTCATGATTTGAATATAAGGCGTTAGTTGGTGCCATAACTTGCGAAACGCATTATATTTTAACAATTTCAATGTGCTATCATTTTCGAGACCTGCAATAAAATTACGATAGACCGATTTATAACTCGTTTTGGCTGGCAGAAGTGTAAGCGATTGAGTAATGTGATTGACATTTCTACTAGGGCTCGGTAGTCTATGAATTTCAGCGTAATTCTCGAGAAAATTCTTCACGACGGTAGCAATGGTTATATTAATAGTTATCTTAGTTTTTCATCGCGGTATTCATTTCATGTTACCATAAACGCGTGGTATTATACCATTCATTGCTAGATAATTTCTGACATTTTCAAAGTGTGTACAGCCAATTCCTAATATATTGAGATACATTTTCTGACAAAGAGTTGTATTGCGATTTCAATAATAAAACGTTCGCTTATTAGCACGCATTTTCTTTTTAAGACGTCGACTGGCAGTTATCTTTCCACCATTCATTGCTTTTAGTTGGGCTATTAAAAATATATCTTGTTCGGATCAGGGACGATGATTTTTTGTGGTGATATAAAGTAAATTTTGTGTGTGATAAAAATAAATTCTGTGAAATTTTGTGATTTGACTGGATTTAAGTAAGGTTGGCCAACATTACGATTCATAAATTCTGCCCAAATTTAGTGTTTACCAGAATTACAATGATTGCAAATCCTAAATTAGGCCAAAAACTTGAACTAAATTTTGTGATTTTCTGTGAAATTCTGTGATCACAATAAATCATTGTCCCTGGTTCAAATCTAGAGAGAGCTTGAAACGCCTCACGTAATTCGGCAAATCTTTCTCTCGGAATCTTTTTTGAACAACCACAATTGCAACCTATCTCCAAGAAACGTATTGCTTTTTCAAATTCAGTCGAACTGTTGTATTCACTATTTTTCATATACGGGTGATCCTATATATAATTTTATAACTTGCAATCCGTATGTAATTGACATCCATCATTTTCAAATCAAACGCGGATTCATTACTAATTAGGTCAGCTTATGACATTTGATATTGAAAATGAAATTGAGAAATGTGAAGAGGAAATAAAAATCTCGATCATTGATGATAAAAAGAATACTAATACATATAATACTTTGTTAATCAGATGGATGATACGAAAAATACAGATATAAACATGATGCATACAATTTTATTTTTTTTTGTCTTCTGTTTCTTTTAACAACAAATAAGAGGAAGAATAAATTGGTATATACAAAGACAGATTAAGATGGTTAGATGAGTGGCAAAACAGAAAAACCAGAATAAAATGAGAGTGATTTGTAACAATGTGAGACACAAGCTTTTAATCACTATCACATTTAAGAAATGCTAAGGAACTATCCTCCTAAATTAACCATGAGAGTCTCTGTTGATTTGTCAAATATAGTTAAAAAGAAGCTTCAATTTATCATAATCTTCATTATCTGCTGCCTCACAACATTTGATCCAGTGTGGAGTATTTAACTCATTATTCCAAAACTCTTTGATCAATCCAAATTCCTCAGTATCCATGTTATATAATCGATTTTGCACTGGTTGGTTTCAAACAAGATAATAGCATCGAAGAACAGAATGCAGATCATCACTTTTTTGGGAGGCAAATTTTTCCCAGCCATATCCCAGTTGTTTCAATACATTATTTGAAGCAGTCTTGATGGTCCCTTGATATGTTGTTTCTTCCCCAAGTCTTGTGGCAAATCCCCAGTCAATAAGTAATATGTTTTAATCAATCATCAGAATATTAGGTAGACGAATATCTCGATGAGCTATCCCAAGGTTATGTGTCTGTTTGAGAATGTCAAGCAACTCTGTAAATATTTGCTGATTTACACTGTTATCTGTCTCATCTATGGACAATCCAACACCACTTAGTAAAATGTATTCAGCATTTGTCTTCACTGTCTTTTCACACTCCATAAAGTGAGGAATATGATAAATACCACCAGCTTCCAAACATTGCAATATATCTCTTTTAACATGTGCTTGTTTGCTATAAGTTGGTCTGTAGACTTTCAGGACATAGTTGGTGTTGAGTAAATAAGCTGTGCTAGTTGCTCCAATTCCAAGAATCTTGGTTGCTTCTAATGTGATATTTTTATATGTGATTGTTGGAAGTGAAAAACCAAGAAGTTCTGGGTTTGCCATTAAAAAGTGTGTAAGGTAATGAGATCCAGCTTCCTTGAGTGGAAAAACAGATGATTGGAAGAAATGAATATCACTATTGTTAGTGAAATCTTCAATGCATACTGCTTTGATAAATTGGATATGGTGACAAGTTGTCAAAATCCCTGTCACCTCCTTTCGATCAACATTAGACTGCAAAAGTGTCTCCAGAAATTGACAGAGTTGTGCAATAGATGTATTTTGCACCCAGTCATCCTCTTTTTCTGTGACTTTAATTTCCAATATAGAGACTATATTAATGTCAGTGAGAACTCGATTTTGTATATAGAATGTAATGTCAGGTTTTCATCCTCTAAGAACTGTATCCACACATTTCAATTCTATTTCTGGATGTTTTGAAACAAAATGTTCTAGCTTCTGCATGAGATAGCATTGATAAACTATCTCCAATTTGTAGTATCCACTCTCTGTCTGGATCTTTTTCACTTCTGCTAAGGTCAGAACATCAGAAAAGTCAAACTCACTATGAGCAGTCTCTTTCTCTTCAGCATTAAGAATGCTTTGTCGAAAACTGAGGTCATATTCTGGCATAAGAGACATATTATTTTTCACTTTGCTTTCATAATAACGTGAGAATGTAAACAAATCCTCGATAATTGAGCTTCATCTGAACTTCGGTGTTCCAGATGTGTTGTCTGAAGATTTTCTCTTATAATTGGCTTTGCTTACTAAGAATAGTAAATGAGGTAATAAAAAAAGCGTAGGTAGTTCGCATGATCATATTAGTATTACAAGGTTACTTGTCTACCCTCTCTACATTATGTACACACTACTCTATGTCCCTAACGCCTGAGTCATAAAGTCATTACCTGGTTGAGCAAGCTCACAGAACTTCGCTTCCCACTCTTCCACTTACCTCGCCCAGTATTCCTCCTTCTCCTCCAGACGCTTCTTCTCCGCCGCGAGGTCAACTACCGTCTCCTTCCACTCAGCTCGCTGCACCGCAGTCCCCTCCTTTACGTCCGCTAACCAAAGCCTCAACTTTCCCAACAGTTTTCCCTGTGCCGCATCTTCTTTAAACGCCTCCAATGTCCTCTTCGTTTCGTCAAGTTCATTGATCGCACGTTCTTTCCGTTGTTTAACTTCTTCAATGCTCGCCATTTCTGTTTTTCATCAAATTTGAAGAACAAAAATGTGCTGCGCAATGTGATCTAATGCCGTAATATATTAATGCTGATCAGTGGCTTAATTAATGACGTAAGTATTACAATTTTGAGATTGTCCATTGTATGCAAAAATGACCAATGATAATTGATGTGCAGAAATTCGCGAATGTTGATTACGCATTCATGACGTTTAGTTAGAATATCGTAACTGCTATAAAAATGACAGAAACTGAGCAACTTTACGAAAAAGCTTCGCGAACTGCTTTTACAAAAATCCATCCAACAGACTTTATCATTTTAAAATGTTTGTTCTCACAAGCGAATTTACTCTCGGATTATTGATTGGAATTATTCTCAGATATTCCCTTTGTTATAAAATTCACAAAAATCAGCTGCATATCATAAATCAGAAAACTGATAAAGTAATCAATTTAATGGAGCCAAAGAAAAAATCTAAGACTAGTAAACATATCGGACATATTAGATATATTTGATTTATTTGTTATATCTATCTATGTATTATTTCAATATAAATAGAGAGTAATAGAATCATGTAAACAGAAGTTCACTTGTAATTTACTTTTAGTTTTCTTTTAGTTTTGTTCTTAGATACACATCTAGTAGTCCTTATAAAGGTACCTGACCTAATATCTCACTTAGTATTTTAACATTTGGATTTCTTTTATTCTTTCTTATTTTATATATATTATTATTATCTTTTACTTTATTATTTATCGTCAATAAACATATTATTATTCCTCTGAATCAATTGAGCTACCTTACTCCTAGTCTTGTTATGAATACACTACCATGTAGATTATAAATCTTAAGATAAACTGAATTAAATCGCTATGTAAACTTAAAAGAATCACCATTCAAATACCCTATCTAACTGTCACAATTCGCAAGGATTGCATGTTAACATTTGACGATGATGACAGAACCTTCTTTTCCTGTTTACGTAGTACTATGAGAAACCCCCTATGAATAACTTTAGAGAATTGATAAAATACCAAAGAACTTATTCTTCTATACACAACAAATCAGAACGTAACTTTAGAAAAGCTGCCACTTCTGTCCTAACTAACAATCTATCCTATATCGCTTGTAATCTACTTCTAAAGGAAATCTCTTAATCTTTTTTTTATTTCTTTGAGTGGGCACAAAAAGTCTTAGAGGCAATATTATATACTAGCAAAAGTTTAGAAGCCTTTCAAATTGCAATCTCTGCAGAAACTACTGGTGTGCAAGAAATATATTATAAGCAGACACTTAAACTTTAAGATATAAGCAAGTACTAATACCAACCTTTGAGCGAGCTGTTGAATACTGTTTTTAAGCTTAAACTGAAACTGAATTATTCCAAAAGAAATATCAAGACGATTTACTTAATTACCTTAATATATCTCTTTTAAGTATAAGTCATAATTCCTCTCTATTTAGAATGACTAAATCCCAAATGAGCTGTAAAAATAGTGCTACATCTGAATCAGTAAAAGAAAATCTGATTTCTCAGATAAGTTACCCACCTGAGGACACTATCATTGCAGACACTACTTCAAGTGGAAAAGATCCTGAAAAATGAACACTAAACTTCGATAACTTTACTTTTAGCCTGTACAGAAGAACCGAAAAGTCGCCTAAACTGACCTATATAAAGTCTTCTGATGAGAAAGATACTACTGCTAATAAAAAGGATGTTTGCTTCTCATGCTTCTCTGATCAAAAATTGATCATTCATGAGACTCACACAAAAATAGAAGGTCAAAGGACAAGAAAAATACAGTCACACCTCAATATAACAAAGTTGCCGATCCAGCCGATCAGGACTTCATTATAAGAATCTTCGTTAACGCTATAACGAATTATGCGGAATGTATA